CTAAATCGCTATCTGAATAGCCTCTGGCACCATATTCTTCACTACTTCCTACATATTCCAGACCATACATAGTTGTTCCTTTTATGTATCTTAGAATATGTTTTAGAGCTTGTAGGTGTTGTGAAGTTGGTATTTCCATAAACCGACTCACCATTCAACTGGAATAGTGATGTCTGGTTGTGTATGTGTCAAATATCTCAATCCACCAACTATATTTCTATAAAAAGTTGGATCAACAGGTTCTCCTTGTTCATCTTTACTTAGCTCAAGTCTTTGCTCCATTAGGTATTTGCATGGATTGCAATCAATCATACCTGATTTTTCAAGTATGGATTTTGCATAAGCTATTTGTTTTAAAGTTATTCCCTCCTTTTGTTGACTTACCTCAATCCCAAGGTAATACGATAACAACCCAAGGTCACTCATGTTAAAATCATTGCTCATTTGTTGTTTGAACAACTTTACATCATCGATACGATTTCCAGTGACAATTAAGTCATCCACATAAATTCCAATTATAAGTATATTTCCGTTTTTCTTTCTTGTGTAGACGGCATACTCTTGTGGACATCTTACAAAACCCAAGTCTTTGAGACATTTGTCTTGCCGTGAGTTCCAAGCTCTAGGAGCTTGTCTTAATCCATACAACGCCTTTGATAATTTGTACACTAATTTTGGCGTGTCTTTGTTTATAAAACCCTATGGATGAGTTACATATACCTCTTCTTCTAATTCTCCATAAAGAAAGGCTAATTTGACATCAAGGTGATGTACAATCCAACCATTCTTGGCTGCCAAAGCAAGTAAAATACACACAATTTCCATTCTAGCCACCGGTGCGAAAACTTCATCGAAATCAACCCCATGTTTTTGTTGATAGCCTTTTGCAACTAACATTGCCTTATGCTTCAAGATATTTCCATTTGGATCTCTTTTTATCTTGAAGACCCACTTGAGACCAATGGGTTTTCTTCCTTTTGGAAACTCTACTAGCTTCCAAGTTTTATTTTTCTCGATTGCTCTTAGCTCACTCTTCATTGCATCTTCCCATTCATGAATTCCTTTTTCCATAGAGTAAGACGAGGGCTCCTCGTCATCATATAAGAATAAAAGTTCACTACAATCTTCATATATTTCAGCCAAGGTGCGAAACTTGGTTGGCGCATTGCTTGTAGACGAGGTCAAGCTAGTTGCACTTTCATGGGAAGACTCAAGGCTTGATGGAATATTATGAGGACTTGATGGAATATTGTGAGGAATTTCAGGTACATTATTATCCGGATTAGTATTGTCTTCGTTTGAGTTTTCACCATATTGCTCGCTATCTCCACGAGTGTTTTCATCAAGATATAATATATCAAAGGTGAAGATTTCATTTGATGTTTGTTTGAATTTTATTGCTTGCCCCCATTCCCATGTTTTATTTTCTTCAAAAATCACATCTCTACTTACTCGAATGGATCACGTATCAAGATCAAGCAATCTATAACCTTTTGTGCCTTTTCTACCCCCAAGTGTACTAGCTTTTTGCTAAGTGCTTTTAGTTTACTCAAATGCCTTCCGGTTACCCGCATGTATGCAATGCAACCAATAACTCTTATATGATCGATTCGTGGTTTTCTTCCGATCCATGCTTCATATGGTGTACCATCTTCGAGAGCTTTAGTGGTTACTCGATTAAGAATGTAAATTACATGAGTTACTGTCTCACCCCATAACACATCAGGTACTTTCATGCTCGTTAAACTACTTCTTGCCATCTCTACAACGATGTGATTGTGTCGTTCCACAACTCCATTCTGTTGTGGGGAGTATGGTGTTGTATAGTGCCTATTTATGCCATTTTTTTGCAAAAAGAGTTGAATTGATTTGACAGAAACTCACCCCATAGATCCATACGAATTGTCAAAATCTTCTCACCGGTTTCCACTTCGACTTTCGCTTTAAAAATTTTAAAAACTTGCAAGGCTTCATCTTTATTTTTCATCAAATATGCCCACATAACTCTTGTATAGTCATCAACTAGCAACATGAAGTACCTATTCCCTGTTGGTGTGGGTGGAGAGATGGGACCACAAAGATCCAGATGCACGAGTTCGAGTCTTCTTTTCGCTCTAAAGGTTGTTTGTGTGGGGTATGGTTTTCTTTTTTGTTTTCCGGCCAAACATCCTTCACACATGCTATTGGGGTTACCTATCTTGGGTAATCCTTCCACAATATTTGTATCAAACATATGTTTAAGGGCTAAAAAAACTTACATGGCCTAAGCAATTATGCCATAACCATTTTGGTTCTATCATTTCTCTAAGTAGGTACATGGTTTCTTCTTCTTCAAGCGTGATTTTGTAAAGGCGATTTTTAGATTGCATGAATTTCATCAATAAGCTTCCATTTGCATTGTGAACCCACAGGTAAGTACCATGCATAATGATTCTATCACCATTTTGAGCCAATTAACCCAAACTAATAATATTGTTGCAAAGTCTTGGTATAAAATATACTTCCTTAAGTTCTCGATGTTCTCCATTCTTGCATTTGAAAACAATGGAACCCCTTCCTTCTATTCGAACTCTAAACCCATCCCCAAAATTGACAAAGCCTTTAATTGTGGAATCAAGTTTTCAAAATTTACTTCTTTCACCCGTAATGTGGTTGCTGGCTCCATTATCAAGGCACCATACTTTTGATTGGCTTGATGCTTCTTCCTTTTTTCTTAGGGTTGGGTTTACATTTTCTTCATTTAGCATGACTTCACTTTTAGCATGCTCATTGTACACGGCTGCAAGTAATAGGGCTGGTTCGACATCATTGAAATCTTGGGTTAGATTAGCTTCCTGAATCATAATGTCAGTATTATTGGCAATTGTAGCATTGTATCTTGCTTTTGTCATAGTTTTGAGTTTGGTTTTGCCCATGACTTCCTCTATTCGAGTGATTACCACCTCTTCCATGACCTGAGTTGTTTGAATTACCTCTTCCACGACCAGAATTGTTCTAATTACCTTTTCCACGATTTGAATTGTTCCAATTACCTTTTCCATGACCTCTTCCTCGTTCCCCATGGTTGCTTGAATTACCCTGTTGCTTGTTCTTTGATTCTTGCCCATTTGAATGCTTCTTGTTTCTTTCTGACCATTCTTCATGGGTTAAGAGTAGTTTCTTCTCGTCTACTTCTTGATGTACTTGAATACGCACTTCGTGTGCTTTGAGCCTTCCAACGACTTCTTCAACTGTCATTCTATCAAGTTCAACAAAATTTTCAATTGTTGATGCAATTTGAACAAATTTGGAGAGCACGACTCCTAGAATCTTCTTGACCACGTACACTTCGTCCATGGTATCACCTAACGCCAGGATGTTGCTCATGATGTTGCTGATTTTTGCTGAAAAATCATCAACCGTCTCAGATTCTTTCATACTAAGAATCTCAAATTCAGCCTTTAGTGACTGAACTTTTGCTGTTCGAACTCGATCTGCACCCATATACATAGTATTGAGTGTTTCCCACACCTCTTTTGCCATTTGCTTCTCCGTTATCGACAAAAGGATTTCTTCCGGGATGGCTTGGTAAATCGCTACCATAGCCGTCTTATCCTTCTTAACACCAGCTACATTCTCGGGTTTCTTCGGTTTAATCGCATCCTAAACCTCCATTGCATGCATGAACACCTACATCTTAATTGCCCATGCAACATAGTTGGTTCACTACAAGAAAAAAGGCCTTTTACGACGCGCAAAATACGACGCTCATTGATCTATGTTACGCAAAGGAGAGTGACATTAGAAAAATGTCATTTCTTCAAAAAATTTAAGGATAGAAGACGCGCATTATTGCGCGCCCTTAAATTAGTGTCTAAAAAAACACGGAGGACACCTATAATAAAATGTGCGTCGTCTAAGGATGTCGCTTTATATTTTTTAATGGAACGCGCGTTCCATCCTTTAATAGTGGGGGAAAGGGGGAAATGAAATTCTGAAAAAATTAAAAACCCCACCTTCCTTTTTTTCTCCTTTCCCTCTTGCCCAAATTATGAACGCTCCTTCCTTCCCCCACTTACTTCTACCCACTAGAACCACCATATCTCCCACGCGATGTTGAAATTGTTAGAAAAAACCCTAATTATACTCTCAAGTCTCAATATTAGGAAGGTGAATCTTGATTCTTGTTTGTTTCAGATTCCCCACAGATAAATCGAAAAACACACAGATGAAGAACCGTAACTTTGCTCCATTAGCTTCCCGATTGCATCTCGTCATCACCTTTGAAACTTCTACGTTAGAGACCCAGGTCATCACCAACACTTCATCCACCATCACCGTTTGCAGCTCTCCAACCCCATCCTTGGGCGACCAATGGATGATGTTCCCGCAAGTCAATTTGGTGTGACGCATCTTGTCACTCATAAAACCACGCACCAACAGTTCACTTGCAAGTCAATCGCGATGCAGAAGCTGATTAACAAGGATGACATCAACGTTGTCTTTCGAGAGCTCCATGGCGCCTACGAGGATCGCTTGATAGTCAATCGATGATTGTCGTCCGCTCATAGGGCCAATAAATTGAAATCAAAGGGTTAGGGTTTTGTCAATTTCTGGTTCTGTAATTTTCTCGTTCAGTAACTTTTTTATGTTTCCTAATTATTGGTTTTGTAGTTTGTCAATTCTACAAGCCACCATGGCTTGCCAAGGAAGATGAAACGCTACTCACTAATTGCAGGGTGCATCACTTAAAACATTATTTCCAGATTAGTTCCCAAAAACGCAATTCAAGATCGCTGGCGATTGAAACAATTTTGCAATTGGAGATTGCTCCACCAGTTGCGTTCATAAAAAAACGCTACTTATATCAAAACCACCTACCATAGTAACAAGTGGGACATAGCTACCATTGGCATGTGATTTTGTGCGCATTATGTTATAAAAACGGAAAATTACAGAAAAGCCCTTGCAATCTCATTTCTACTTGTATATGTTTGATTTGAATAGATGATGGGAGATTAATGGATGATGTTGAAGCTGGAGAATTATGGGGTTTCTTTGGTGGATTTTCTCCAGTTCCAAAGAAAACAACTACAAATGTGCTCAAAGTACTCATGCTTATCCTACTCAACTACTTTGGTAATATTTTCTTATATTATTCTATTACTATTCTATCTCTTTATTCAACAATTAACAAAATTCTAATTTTTTTTTCTTGTTTTATGTATCATAAAGGGAAAGCAATACCTGTAGCTGATGATTCATTGACAAAGAAGTTACTAGACACACACCATTGTTATCTTCTAGATTGTGGAACAGAAATTTATGTGTGGGTTGGAAGAAGTACTAATCTTGAAGAAAGAAAAGCTGCAAATCGAGCTGCAGAAGTAAACATTATATCAAACTATATAAATAACGTATTGATTTACAGGAACATTTACGTGTTCATGAAAGACCAAAATCCAATATCATTCGAATGATTGAGAATTTTGAGACAGTTTCTTTCAGATCAAAGTTTGATTCATGGCCTCCACTGAGTGATGTGGTTGCATCTGAAGATGGTAGAGGGAAGGTGGCTGCTTAAATCTAACAGCAAGAAGTAAGAACAGGGAACAGAGAACAAGAAGAAGCAATTGAGGGGTATTTTTGTCCAACTTTCTGCTGAGATTTTTATTGAACTGAAAAAACTCCTGTAACATCATAAATAACATTCCTACTTATACTTGAAAGAAACAAAGCAAACTAACTAGATGGGTTTATCTCTAAAATGCAGGAAGAAAGGATAATGACTAAAAGTTCAAAAAATAAACTAGATAAATTCTTCTAAACTTCTGGATTATTCCAACATAGGTCACCCAAGTAGAGCTATATAATCCAGCATTGGTTAAAACCTTGCTTTTTTAATAAGGTCTTGAATATAGAGAGAGGGTCTTTTGAAAATGAATGACTTTATCTGTGAAAGAAATCAATTTTATACAAGTGTGTTGAAAGTTCAGCGTCTGAGGATGATGTCTATCACTCATCCGTTTGTCAGCATCTGGGTTCTATGAGCGAACATGTTTTTGGAGTCGTTGATTAAGGCTTTGTTTCATGGTATGAAAATAGTTAGTGATCACCATGTATGTCCACTTCAGGATACATTAATTCTACTGGTATGTCTTCTGGTTTTAATAATATTCCACCCCTGTAACTTTTTGATGCCATTATATCAAACTATATAAATATAAATATTAATTATCCTGATCTGGATGACTAATTGGTTTTGTTTTTTATTTGGGTTTCATATTTTGATTGGTGTGAAGGGTGAGATGATTTTTGATAATATTTAATGTGACATTTGTTTCAGGTTAACACAATGTTCCATTTGGATCAACCTATGTATCTTCTTGGGTTTCTTGCTAACCAGAGCAGGGTTTATCTCATTAACAAAGAATTCAAGTGAGTGGGTATAATAATCTTTAAATAAACAATTATCATCAACATTTATGCTAATTTTTTTTCTTTAATTTTTATGTTTTAGTCTCATTGGTTACACTTTGCTCCTTACGTTAATCGAGTACAAGACACTTGTGATGCGTGGAGACATAGAATGAGCTAATGGAGTTTTACCCTCAATCCCAAAGGAGCATTATAATAGGTAGAGTTTCAAATATTATATTGTTATTACCAAAATTTTATCTTAAATATATATTATATTTTTTTACGAACGAACTCTGGTTGTTTTCTTCAATAGTGTTGCTCATTTTCTGGAGTCATGGGGCAAGGTTGAAGAGGCCTTGGAAGTTACTACAGACCCTGATTATAGATTTGAGTTGGTTATTCAGCTTGGTAAACTTGACATTGCCAAGGTAATAGATTGCTCTTTAATTAAGAACCAAGGGCATTGATGGAATTGGTATATGAGATTCCATTCCATGGCATGTTTGGTTGCTAAATAGAGGCAATTTAATTCCGCTGGAGTCCTACAATTACTATGTTTGCTGGATTTCATTAGGAGGATGGAAGGAATTCAATTCCGTTTTTTATTTATTTTTCGTTAAAAAGACTAAAATACCCTTGTTATATAATATTAAAATAAATAAAAACAAAATTTCTGATATATATATATATATATATATATATATATATATATATATATATATATCACAATAAACAAAATATTTGTTTTTATAAATAACATTTTTTAATTCCTCATTATATGAACATTGAAATAAATAAAAATAAAAATTTAATTCCATTTTTTGATACAACAGTAAATCCTTACGATGCTTGTAATCATGCATCATCCTTGTTTTTGAGTTGGTTATTCAGCTTGGTAAACTTAACCCTTTAATACAATTATATAGGTTCCACTTCAAGTTTTTGTTCGAAGACAAATAGCTCGGTTGTTGGATCATTGTCTTCAATGTGCTAGACTTGTATACAATGAATTAGTAAAGGTATTATCTTTTTTTCTTTTTCTTTTTATTTTTTTATAATTCAGAATAAATAAATATTTGGGAAATATTTCAGATCACCCATAGTTGTCTAGTGCATGAACTACAATGGTTTCCTGTTCTTAAGATGCACATTAATGACATTGCTGGGAGTTTTTTGTTTGAAGGTCTTCAACCTTCACAAACAATGATTGGACACTTACTAGAAATGGAGGTATTAGACCAAACTACTTTGATTGCGATTTTTATACATACATGTTCCTGTTTATTAAACCAAAGTATTTATGGTGTCAGGTTACTTCAGTAAAAACTTGTAGTTGGTATTCACCATTGACTATTGATTGACTTACTTTTTTCTGTTTGATGCAGAGTCAACTGGTAGGGAAATTGTTAATTTTTCAAAGTAAAACAAAGGGTTGATTGAACGAGAGAAAAGAAAACACCAACACTCAATGGATAATAAGAATAAAAAAGATAAAGATATGAGGAAAAAAAGGTAAAACAAACTCGTATGTATGAATATGATTTGTATGATAATTAAATTTATAGTGTACGTATGTTTTGGTTTGCATGCAGTCTTTGTTTGGCAGCTTGGAAAAACTTTGTAGCACCTGATCGTCCATGCCACTCTTAGTAAAACAAATTTATAGTGTACTTCTTCCATTCATGTTAGTAGTTTCTCATTATGATGTGTTGTTTCTTGTGCATTTTTATTTTTAGGAGGTATTTTACTTTCTTTAATATTTAAAGTTACAGGACATGAGTATCGGCACATCATGGAACATTTAGGGTAGTTGTTGCTTTTCCTCTTGGTGATCCATCAATGAAGTGGCCAACATCATGTAATAACATTTTAGGGGAAGATGTAGGTATATGTTTTTTTTAATGAATAATGTAATCATATGTATGAATATGAAATACAGTTTGTTATTTGTATGACAATAAATTTTATGCAATGGATTGTATTTTTTGTATATGGTATTTTATTTTCTGTTATGAGACATTAAATGCAAATTTAATTTAAAAATTAATAAATGAATAAATATATTTTTTTAGAACATTTAAAATTATGATACGCAAAAATGTGTGTCATCTTCATTTATGACATGGCCTTTCTTGACAGGGGCTTCCTTGATACGCATTGCGTGTCATAAACACGCGCGTCGTAAGGTTACGACACACAAACGTGTGTCGTCTTCATTTATGACAGGGCCTTCCTTGATACGCATTGCGTGTCATAACCGCGCGTCGTAAATGCGCGTCGTCTATAGATGACGCGCAAAAGCGCGCCGTCTCTCTTTATGACAGGGCCTTCCTTGACGCGCATTTGCGCGTCGTCTGAGCGTTTTACGACGCGCAATGAGCGTCGTAAAAGGCCTTTTTTCTAGTAGTGGTTCTAGTCAAGATGGGATAATGCATCTTCAGTCCTTCCATGGTAGGGCTTTGAAAGATCGGTTTGTCAGATCTCTTATGTGTTCTTCTATGCTCCGATACCAAGTGTAAGGTATCTAACTGATACCTTTCTGAACCTTGTTGCCTAAGAATAGAAAACAAACAGAACAGGAAGGAAAGAAGGGACAAAAACTGCACAGCAAGGAACAAGAAACAGGGGCGATAATAGGGAAATAAAGAAACAGGATTTGTGATTTTGCTTGGTTAAAAAGAAACTTTATTGCAGAAAAAACTTTATTCTAAATACCTATAATGCAACATATTTATAAAAGAAAATAGATTTTGACTCATACTCTAAAACAAGGAAACAAAAATAATAAAAGCAATTTTCCTAAAATGCCCTTGTGGGCTTTTTCCTAAATTACGCCAACATCGTACGGGAGGTGGTGTATTCATATATGAATACACTTATATTTATATTCACATATGAATATTAGTCATCATCCGTCGGCCCGGTATGCCAGAGGGTTTTGTAGCAAAAATAAATGATTGGTTAAGAATGATTCCCTCATTCTCAATTCTTTTTATTTTCTAAATTGAATATATATATATATATATATATATATATATATATATATATATATATATATATATATATAAATTACATGAATGGTCCCTATGGTTTGGGGTAATTTGCGTGTTTGGTCCCTAAATTATTTTTTTAACTTGGAAGGTCCCTATGGTTTGTTTTTGTTATGCATTTGATCCCTAATTTTTATTTTTGTTATGCATTTGGTCCCTGTCTTATCTAAAAAGACTATTATTTAAAGAAGAAAAATGATAGGGTAGGTGAGGTAAGGTGAGGGGGGTGGGATTAGGGGAGTGTTTATTTAAATAAATTAAAAAAATCAAGGGCATAATAGTCTTTTAAGGTAAGATAGGGACCAAGCGCGTAACAAAAACAAACAGTAGGGACTTTTCGAGTTAAAAAAATAAGTTAGGGACCAAACACGCAAATTACCCTAAACCATAGGGACCATTCGTGTAATTTACTCATATATATATATATACATATATATATATATTATATATATATATATATATATATATATATATATATATATATATATAGAGAGAGAGAGAGAGAGAGAGAGAAAGTCAAAGAGAGGTTTATAATATAACATGATATTACTGTCTAACCACATAACCATTTTATAACCTTAGGATAACTCTATCGGTGGACTAGATTACGAGGGTTTATGATAAAATTTTAAGTCTCGGTACAAAGAATCAAATTCATCCAAGGGTATGCTGGGAATTATTCATATTTAATAACACACCATCCCATTCTCAACCGTTGATCATGTTCATCATCACCTTCTGATACCGATCAAACACATAAAAATTATTTCACAAATTCAAACAATAAACTACATATCAGATTCTGGAACTTGAATTGAAATCAATTTGACACCAAACTAGATTAATACAAGAAGTCTTCCTAGGCTATAAGGCATCATACATTAGGTTGTTCTATCATGAAATCCCTGAAGACCCCTAGTTTATCACTAGCATGTAGTGATAGGTTATGAGCATAATTACAAATCCTATGTGTTCATGAAACCCTATAATTAAGGATCTAGGTTTTCACTTGTTGAACATGCAAACTTGAACATAAAGAAGAAGCCCTAGTATGCTCCGATACTTTTCAAAATCCATAAAAAATTAGGGTTTAGTTAAATACCTTTAAGATTGTTATTGTAAAAAATCTTTAATACTTGCTTGAAAGACCTTTGGTAGCAAGCGCCACAAGTGTCGCGCCTCTAATGGCTCACACACAAACCAAGCAACCAAGTTACACTTTTGAGAGAAAGAGAGAGATAAGGGTGGAAAATTTAGTAATTCCTCTAAGGAATCAAGCAGTGGATGAAATCAAACCCTATAGGGTTTATATAGTGAAAAGGAAAGTATTGGATTAGGCAGGTGTATCCAAGATAACCATAATCCTTTAACTTCCTCTATAAGGCATCCAAGGCACCCTTAGATCCCAAGGAAACCCTAGGAACACCCTAGAATTTGTCCCTCCCCCCCTCCCCCCTTTTTTTTAGGGAGGTTCTAGAATGTTCAATGTTCAACTATTGAACATTGTCATCTTTAGTCCATGCAGTTTCATTTAATTCTTGTAATCCCAAAATTAATTCCAAAATAATTTCTGATTAAATATTAATTAAACAATATGATTTCAAATTAATATATTATTTCCATAATACATTAATAAATCATTTATTTAGATTTCTAATTAATTTATTAACCAAGTAATAAATTAATAAATCATTATTTTCTCTCTAACAGTTATCATATTCAAGTGCGAGGTTTGAAGGCAATCCAAAAGGACATTGCTACTAATAATTCAAGTTCTTACCAATTATAGTTGTGAGCTTAGACACCTAATCCAATAGTCTCCCACTTGGATAAGTCTAATAACTATAGTTGCAAGTATAACTTCAAATTTTGAATAGCAAATTGTAGCTACCAAAAGTCGTTGTCGAACTCTGACCTAGTCAGTGACGTGTCCTTAGATAAGAGATCAAATATTCCTCCATTCTACAAGATATCGTATGGACATGACGCATAGATTATAATCACACTCTCTATCCAAGATTTATTCCAGATTTTTTATTTATGACGACTGATATCAGACTAGTAATTGAACACATCAATTCAATCCACGCTTGGTCAAGCGCTTTAGATGTCATAATCAAATCATCGAGGGGCCCACGGATATTGCTTTTTCCCATTTTGGGTAAAAAGAATGGATAAACTTCTACTTATAGCTTGCATTATTCACCCATCAAATCACACAAAACAATACGTTTTATAACATCAAGTTACTGATGCATTTACGTATTATCAATTCACAATTGAGTCATAAACAACAACTAATATGTCCCCATTTCAAGAATATAAGATATTATTGTCTCAAAATTAATCATGATAAAATCCATGAAGTAATTCTCTGAGCATGGGTTAATCCTATACTCAAATCCCCATTTCAAAAGTACTTATGAATATTGAAGCAAACCATTGCTATATCTAAACCCTTAGACAATCTACAATCCAATTCACGATTAGTATTAATTGACTGCTTACTTTCAAAGTATGATCGAGTATGGATGTTTTGAATAATCCAATTATTCAGGAAGTAACACAAGCGAAGTGAAACACAATAATAACCTAATTAAATATGGTCTCAAAACTATTGAATATAAATAAAACACTAATTATTTAATCACCATACTAATTAAACTTTATTAATTGTATAATATTTTGATTAATCAACTAAACACTTGAATTAGACATCAGTCATGCCAAGTTCTAAACATGCATACTATGTCTCTTTGTGGTTATTCCTTTGTGAATGGATCGATTGGACATTATTCCAATGATGTTCATTTCATAATTTCAATTTCTTATTAGAACTAATACGAATTCTAGATTCTTTCCATCGCTAAATGTGTTTGAGTCTAACCTTGCATGCAATATCCTTTTGTGATGATGTGCCTAAAAGCCACAAATACTTTGCCAACGATGTCACAAAATGCTCCGTTGAAACTTTGTTACCTAAAACAATTTCATGGTAATGAAGTATCAAATTCAAGGTAACTCATTGAACACCTTCCTTGCATTAAGGTTTCTAACTCATATGTTGATTTCAATAACCAAATCTCATTATGAAAACATTTCCATATTCCCATATGACTATCAATTTTGATCATGAATGTGACAACTAGAAATTTTTGGGTCAAACAAGGTCTAAAAGGTCTTGTGTATAAGTATACCTACAATGTATATCTATGTAACTTTGTTACAATAAAAATTTGAAAACCATGAGGGCATGGTTAGGATATGTGTATGTATAAGAAAATATACTTTGAAGATCACATTCGTAATAA